TAGGGATTGAACTGAAGAAATTAATTGAAATTCCTCTGATAGGTTACATGCTAGTGACAAGCAAAATTAAAATGCTAAGAATTATTGTGTTTATTCATGTCCTTTTTGCTCTATTCACTCAAAGCCATACCTGCTGTCTTTTTTCTTATTCCTGTTTTACATTAATGTAAAGTTCTACAAGAATATTTAAAAATAAGTTTTAATAGAAAATGAAAAAATACACAAAATTTTGTAACATATATTTATTTTGCAAAGTCTAGAGTGATAATTTTGGCATAATTATAATTAGTTGACTAGCATTTCTCAGTTAGCAGAACTGACAAAGTCGTTTTGTGACACTATACTTCTTGGTGCATAGTTTATTCTTATTCAACAAAAGAATTTGGATGCTTGAGAGAAGGGTGATTTATGTTCATTTACATGCAGAAGGAGTTCAGTTGTTAGGAGGGTCAAGTCATTCAAAACCCAGCTTTGACAGAATCTAGATTACTAAAGTAGTCTTCCTTAAGATTAGTATGGCTTGAGACCTTAAATATTCATCATTAATAAAAATTCTATGACATTTTTCAAAGGAACATTTGCCCAGGTCATTTGACCAGATGCCAAGTTAAATCATTAAGCCACGGCCAACTGCCATATCATTTTTCTTTCTTCACTTAATGTTATAGATATTTTTTAATTTCAAGGGAACTGAGGTATAATTGTACTTGGGCACAAACTGTACAAGTCAACTTCCAATTTTCAAGAAATGCCTCTCCTCAGTTCAGAACCTTGGAGGGCTTCACAAGTCTCTCCTTGGGCTGGCCTTAGAGTTGATTGAGGAGATCATCTCTCAGATTTTAATATTGAAATTCTGAATAGAATTTTAAAATATACAAATACGTAAGAAGCCACTTCTATTATTGCTTCCATGCTGGTGGATGCAGCTTTTGTTTTGGTCCTGTTAATGTATTCTGTTGTTTTTCACTTTATCACAATTTCATAGAAACAAGTGTAACATCTGTAATTGTTGGTATTATGTTTAAAATGGTGAAGATTTAAGTGTTACAGATACGTTTATCACACAATGTGCTGTGTGTACATTAATTATATTGCATGTATCTTTTTAATTAGCAGTCATCTCTATTTCTAGCAATAGCTTCATTATGTCTTGAAAACATAAAATATACTGCATTTTGATCTTATCCCCCACTACATACTTCAACTTTCTCTGTGACAACAATCACCTCCTTCTATTTCAAGTTGTTCTAAAAGATGATTGTCATTATTAGTAACCCCTGTTTTCAGTTAGTGCTGACCGAATGCTCAGGGTTATAGGGCCGACTACTGATGTCATAGGCAATGTTACAGTAACCAGGTCTCCAGAAATAAGTGACCCTCCCTCAGTAGCCATCAACTGTTAACAGCTGGATATCTATGCACAGCATCCCAGGAGGCCGTTCTCCACTGGTGTTGAAATTTTGGCTGGCTTAATCTTGTATGCTTCTGTTGTGAGCTGCCTGAGGTGATGTTAAGTTCTTGTCTGCTTCACTCATGCCATGTCCAGATGAGAGAATTCCAGAGCTGTCATCTGCATTCAGTGACTCTTACATTCTTCCCGCCCATACTTCTACCATGTTCCCTGACCCTTGGATGAGATGTCAATACACATGTGATGGGGGAGGTCCTTCTGTGTATGTGTTTGTCCTTTTGGTTGATAAATAAAGTACTGTTGGCCAATAGTAAAGCAAGATAGGTGGGACTAGGAGTAGAGGAGGATTCTGGGAAATGTAGTAAGATAAGTCTTGTGATCCACGCAGGAAGTGACATAGCAGGCAGACTCAGAATTAAAGCAGGAAATTGCTCTTGTTCTTCCTCTTCATCCTGCTATCTGCTCTAGAGCAGCCATGTGATCCCAGAAAGAGGACACCATTGGAAGGCAACCTCGATAAAATAAATCTTATAAAATATATAGATTTACGATAATTAAGACTGAGCTAGCATATAAGAAGTCCTAGTCAATTGGCCAGCAGCATTGTAAACTAATATAAGACTGTGTGTACAAGAGGCATGGACTCTCTGAAGTCTTGAGGTCTACTGAGAGCATGATAAATATGGTTGATAACAATATGCTGTATTTTAAAAGTTGTGAGATAGTATACTTTAAGTGTTCTCAAAACAAAAATGATGAATATGTGTGATATAACATGTTAATTGGTTTAATTTAGCCATGCCATTGTGAACACACTGTATTGTGTATCATAATTGTGCATGACTTCATTTATGAGCTAAATAAATGAATGGGGGAAAAAAAAGACTCTGTGTGTTGTGTTATTCTGGGCACCCAAAGTGGCGGTGGGGCTCATGCGGATGGAGTAAAGACTTATCCTAACACACATGACCCATCTACTGCTGAGGACTCATGGCAATTACTCTCAGAAGTTTTAGGTATGGGTCCACATTAAATACCATTCACTACCTTATATTTCTGGAAAGCTACCCAGCATACAAGAGTTTCCCAGTCAATCTGAGACTGATTTCTCCTTAACCAGAAACCAAAGTGTACGGTGACTTCAGAAACACCTAGTTATGGTGGACAAAAAAGAACAACAATATCCTATGTTATATGGGTGTCTCTGATCTTCCCTGTCAAGTGACTTGCAGAGGGGTTTCCCTGGTCTGGAAGTGATATTTTCAAGAAATATGCAGTTCATAGTTCATTTGTATTTGGGAAATTCAGAGAAAATACTGTATTATTTATCCTGTCTTGGTGAGTCCAACGTTTTGAAGCTAATTTTCTTTCTATTCTAACTTGTGTTACCAACACAAAACTATCTTTTTAGACCTCAAAAAGTTTTCTTAGATAAACATTTACACTCTTATGTCTCTCAAACTTATACATGTAATACCTCTTTGTGGGTATGTTTTCTAAATTTCTTAACAAGGAAAACAGGAACTATAACTATCTCATCTTCAACTTCATCAGAGCCCCAAGAAGAATTTAATTTATATAAACATAAATATAAATGCAAGAATGATACACTTCCTGAATAAACAGGAAGTACAGGGCAAACAACTTCCAAAACTATAGAAATGACAGAAGCAGCCTGCTGCCTGGACAGTCACCTAAGAATCCTCTGCAATATTGGGGCATCAATCCTTGGTCAACAGGCCTAGAATATCTGACAGACTTCTCTGTGAAGTGAGGATTTTGAAGGACTGTCCTACCTTGTCTTGGCAAATTTGGCAGTAGCTTCCCTTTGTGTCTTTCTTGTCAAATTTGGACAGCATATTGTTAGCAGTTGAGGCAAGGGTAGTTTCTTGCTCAGTGGCTAACTTTCCCACAACAAAAGCAAACTACATATGGAGGTTCTTCGATGTCCATTACCCTTTTATTGAAGTAAATTGGTGCTGCGAGGAGCAGAAGTGTCTCACTGTCATGAAAATCCTTATTTTATTAAAACATCTTAAATGTCATATTCTGTAGGTCGCTGAAGTTCTTGAAGACTGCCTATCTAAAATATATCTCTAATTAATCTTGAAATTGTATCTAATATTATTATCAGTTTGATTATTATGAATGATTAACTATTAATCTGTATTTCTTAATTATATATTACAATTTAAAAAGAGCTGCATAGGTATAATACCTAAAATAAGAGTAGAAACTTATGTACAGTATAAAAGAATAACCTCAGATTTGTAACAATATATTCATATTGGTTATCTACCATTGGAGAATATAAATCTTATTGAAGCTTTGTGTGGATAGGTTGTGAGTCTGGACCATCTCAGGTAGCAGCTTTGAATGTTTCCAGATGAAGAAATTGAGGACATTGTAACAGGGACATTCTGAAAGGCTGGATCACCTGTGCTCATTGTCTTTATTGGTGTCTGGTCCTCTTGTTTGGAAAACATACAAATTTTTAAAGGTAAAATACATATCTGCATTAACACAACCATGGAACGTGCAATGTACACACATCAGCTAAAGATGATCCTTTTCTTCTATGCCTGAACTGGTAAAGGACTTCTTTAGACTTTGGAAGTCTGTTTGGACCATATAAACAAACCGTAATATAAATCTCCATCCATGTTATGTGACAGAATGGCATGTATTAATAAGACATTAGGAGTCTCTAGTCACAAAAGTTATCATTCTCCAATCAATCTCAGTCCTATAGTCTTTTATTGACCTTTTCCCTCATTTCCACAGCCAGTACCCTCACGAGGTCTCCCATGATCAAATTTGATTTCTATTAATTCTGAAGATAATTATAATTTTGTTTCCAATGGAAAAAAAGGCATAGCCTCTCACCTAATGCAACATATTTTTTTATTCCATTTTCAAGTTAAGACATTCTTAAAATATATAGGTTGGTTTCATTTAGCAGTTTTCATAGTCCGGCCTCAATCCAATCTCTATCAATCAGCAGCTATTGTTTTTTGTACGTTAGCATTAAAAAATTCAGAGTCAACTAAATACTATATAGGATCCAAACACCCTCTGTGTTTATTATCTTAATGTGGCTTATTTATTTCATAATACTTTATTCTTTCTTTAAAGATGTTATTATTTTTAAACTATATTTTCTATGTCTGTCTATACCCATTTTCTCTTCTTTATTTAGCATCTAAGTACATTATTAAACATGCTATATCTATTCAGAGCTCTTCTCTTCTCGGTCTGGTCCTGACTTTACCAAGTGCCTGCAGCAGCGCACATGCTGAGTTCTCTGGTGTATGAACCAAACATTAAACTGCTAAGTGGCCACTGTGCAACTCTGGTGGCTGTCTCTACCCCACTCAGTGCTCTAGGGCCTAGCCTCATGTCAGCAGCACAGAGCATGAGCTGCATTTGTCCTCCCAGCTATGGGAATTTGTTGAGTGATGGGAGATGTCATTCTGTAAATATGTTTCTCTTATTGGTTGATGAATAAAACATTGTTGGCCAATAGTAAAGCAAGATAGGTGGGACTAGGAGAGAAGGAGGATTCTGGGAAATGTAGTAGGGAGTTGTCTCGTGATCCCTGGAGGAAGCATGAGTCTGTCATTCTCGGTAAGATAAGACCTTATAGTAATACATGTATTAGTAGTTATAGGTTAATATCTTACTAAATATATCTTACTACATACATCTTACTAAATATATCTTACTTAATATATCTTACTAAAGAGACACTTGTATGTCCGTGTTCCCCATTGCTAAGAAATGTAATCAAACTACATGTCCATCAAGTGCTCAGTGAACAAAGAATATGCACCATGTAAACACAATGAAATGTGACTCAGCTATAAAACAATGTAACCATGAACTTAGCAGAAAAATTAGGAATAAGAGGAAAAATTATACTGAAAGAGGTTACTCAGGGTCAAAAAGACAAACACGAAATGTTCACCAATAAATGTGGATTCTAGCTTTGAGTTTGTAGCCATTATTTTAGTAAACCAGTTTACTTAATGGATCAGAGATTGAATTAATATCCTAAAAGCCTCTAATCTTTACTCTACTTGAGATGAGGTCATTAAAAGACTGTGATTCTTTGTTTATCAATAACCAGAATTTAGTGAAGTTACATTGATTCACTAAAGAAAAGAAGGTTTGTTCAATCTATTCATTGATTGTTTTATAGAACATTTTCTGTTTATTGAGTTATATATTAATTATGACATTAAGTTTCTTTTCAAGGCACAAGGATATTAATGCTACTGGCTACAGTAGGCTGTGCATGATTTGTTCAATATATACATATTATGTATATAGTATATGTAATATATTATATAAAATATATCCCCACACTGTTGTTTAGTAATATGTTATTTGTGAGAATAGTACATATTTAACATGTATGTGACATCAAATATAAATATGTCATACAAAAACAGAAATAGTTGTATAATATATATATCACTGGGCCTATGATGGAGAGAGGGCTCAGAGTGTAAGATCACATACTACTTTTGCAAAGAACCTGTATTATTGCCCAGAACGCTTATCAGTCTGAACGTATTTCCCTGTAACTCAAGCCTTGGGGGAACCAAAGCCCTCTTCTCTCCTCTTTAGATGCTGAATTCATGTGGACATAGCCGTGCACACATAGTCATGCACAAGTACACATAATTTTTTAAGTAAAATGAAATAAAACAAAACACAAAGAAAAATATTATATTCTTTTCAAGAACAATTGCATTGTAGTCAAAGAACCAGGAAATTCTTTGCACATAAAATATTGATGATGTATTATTGTACTTATGTTAAAATCCATGTGAATAACTATTTAATGAATTTGTCATCTAAGGATCAAAGGATTGAAAGTTACACCTACATGTCATTTTGTAAGTAAGGTTTTAAAACCTGAGACATAAGAATAGACATAAAATCTTTGTCCCTCTGAGACTCTTTGTTGGCAATTATATAAAGAAAGTGTGTGTGTGTGTGTGTGTGTGTGTGTGTGTGTGGTATATTGTGGGGGGCAATTATAGAAAATCATAATTTTATTTCAAACTTACTTTTTTACAAATGCTCCCATAGAACTAGACATAAGGATGGTAGTGTTCTTAATAACCCTAACTACCATTAGTTAAGCCAATGGTGTACAGCTTGACATATCATCGATACTGAGGCAGTAAATTTTGTAACATCTTTTCAGTAAGAACCAGAACAAAGTGTTTTCCTGTGTGTTTTACTTTAGCTTATTAAATTCTTTAGAAATTTGTGATGAATTACAGTGAATTGGATTTTCTGATAAAGCGTTTTTTCATTGTTGAAAGACTTTAATGCATTTGTTTTTCCCTTTTCTGTATGCAGCAAGGTAAGAGCAACTTACATGTACTAGCAAGGTACAGAATATAGTGGGTTGTGCAAAAGTTCAAACTATTCATGAGTAGATGTGATGCAATTCATGAAGAAAAAATAAATACACATATTTCATAAATACACAGAATTAAATTTACAAACCTGTGAATATTTCACTCAGTGTCTATTGTACATTCTTATAATTTTGTCATTGGAGTAAATTTTATGAAATAGTCCTGTTTTAAAGAAAATCATCCCATCATAAAAGTTTATTTGAATTCTGGATTAGCAATTAGATATCTTTTATGACAAGCATTAAATTTAAATGATATTTTCCTTGTGGAAAATTCACTTTTCAAAATCATACATATAATATGAGAATAGAATTTAGAGTTCACTTCAGTACGTGACATTTTATTTATTCAAGTGAGATATGAACAGGTAAATGAGATGCACTCATTTGAACTAATTCCTAAGTTTCCATAATTTTATAATTAGTATACATTATTGTGTTTGTAATGTTGTGTTGCCAAGTATCCTTATTTTAATTTTCATCTAATGGTGCTTGAAATGTCATTAATCTGAGCAAATTTGGTTGAGAAATTAAATTTATTTGGGGATTATTTCTGGTGTTGCCAAGAAATGTTTCAAACACTAGTCTGATGAATGTTTCTGAATTCATTAAATTGGTAAGATATTCATAATTTATGTTTGGATTTATTCATTCTGATCTGTGTAGATGGTGTTTTCTGGAAGATACAAAATACAAGCATCAAAGGATGACGTGAATGGGGAGAAAAATTTATCTGGTAATTTGTGGGAAACTCTGTTCAAATCCTTGAATGGTTCCCATATTCTTTTCTGGATATTAATTCTATTGCAGTGCATTGCACTGAAGTAGCGGGTGGTGATGTCAAGTTACATAGTGTCAACTTAGCTCATAGATGGTAGACTCCTCCCAGTTCTGATGAAGCTTGCATTTTATGCAGTGGAGTCTTGAGTTTTCTTGTCCTTGAATAATCAGGCTGATTTAACAAAGCCTTGACAACTTAAATTCCAGTGTAGGACAAGTAGTTCTGAGTGTTAACCTCCATTTTTCTTAAATGTTCATAACACTGAAGAAAAATACCCCTGCTTTAAGAAGATACAGGTCAACACATCACTTGAGGATCATGTTAAGTGCCATCATCTTGGGACCACCCTAAATGTTAGGTAGATATATGATCAGGTTAAAATGAAAATCAAAACCAAGAGAAAAGAAATACAACTATTTCCGTAACCAAGCCTTTGTACCTACTGATGTTAGGTATGATATTTTTTTTCTTTTATTCCTCTAGAAGAACATATTGAAATAATGATTTTCATAAATAGATACTTCAAGAATTTTAGTAGATATCAAATAAATATTTTTCTTGTAGCAGAGATTTTATGTAAACCCAGAAACTCCTGTTTTCATTTTAAAAAGCATCAGTGCTTTGCTTATTGCATTATATTCTACATAAAACAACTTGCCTGTCAAGAGTGGGTCTTTGAATATCCTCTAATATCAAAGAGAATAAAAAAATAAAAACTGCTATACTTTCATGAGATGGCTAAGGACAATTGCTGCTTCATTCACAGATGACAGATTCCTTTTATGGATACTTTCTGCATGGTTCAGCCTAGAAATTATCACATATAGATTGACTCTGCCCCTAGCAAAATGTAAAAGTACACACAAACTTGCAACAATTTAGCCAAACACCAACAAAAACGAATAGGGAAAAGACACACTGCTAGGTGTGAAACTCCAAGCCGTAACCCTAGTGAGATCTTGCAAAAATGGAAATGAGAGTCAGGTGACATCATGAAGATGAAGGGACAGCAAAACAAATCACCATTCTGAAGCTTACGTCTGGTATATGTTTTTGTGTTTATGTCATCAAAATGTGCTAATAGAAATTCACACTTCCAGAGAATAAACCAAGTTAGACATTGGACTTTTAAAAAATTTTGCTCTTATATATTGTGTGAGGAAAAATAGAAAGAAATCAAAGGAATGTTTACTGTTAGCAATCACTTGAGCTGGTCATAATGGGGAGTGAAAGTTGACGTGTCACAAGTATAAATAAAGATACTTTGGAGGTATTGCTATTTTGTCAAATTGCTTTTTTCAAGAACTATAAAGAAGAGCAAAGGCTTGCCAATTAAAATATTTTATTCATGTCCACAGAATACCGTACAATGTACTATCATACCCTTAGGTAGAAGTTTAGAGCTGTACTTGGGGATCTTCTGTTTGCTCTCAGGACATGATGTGGCAATGCATCTAGGCATCTTCATGTATCTAAGAGATATTCCATGTTTTTCAACCATTAGTGTTCCAATCATGCATGCAAAACAGTGTATATATTAGTATCTCCATTTTGTTAATAAGAAAATTGCATCCCAGAAAGTTGACTATGCTTAGAAAAATAATAGTCCACCTGTTTCTAGTATATTCTACCTGACTTATGATTTGCGAATCCATTTATATATGTGTGAGTTAATCAGCAGTCTTATGATACTGAGATACTAAGGCCCACAGCTATGGCTCATACGTGCCTGTAGTCTGTAAGAATTTTTTAATTTTTGAAAATTTTCGTATACTTGGTGCTCAGTGTTTTTGTTTCCATTTGGGGTTAACATCTTTTATTAGTTAATTAATTAATTTGTTTTCTAGCCTGATCACAGTTTCCATTCCCTCCCCCCCAGTCTATCTCCACAACTTCCCTAAATCCTCCCCCATATACTTCTCCTCCTTTCTCTTCAGGAAAGGGCAGACCTCCCATCAGACAACCATGTTATGTCAAGTGGCAGTAAGACTAGGCACCTCCTGTCCTATTAGTGCCAGATGAGGCAACCAGTAGGAAGGAAGGGTCTCAAATCAGGAACAGAGACAGATACAGCCCTTGCTCCCACTTTTAGGAGCCCCACAAAAGACCAAGCTATACAGCTGTAGCATTTGTGCAGAGGACCTTCATCCGTCTATGCATGCTCTCTGGTTAGCAGTTCAGTCTCTGTGAGACCCTATGAGTCTCAGTTGACTCTGTGGCTTTTCTTCAGGGTAACCTTTGCCCCTCAGTCCTCCACAATCTTTCCTCCCCCTTTTCCACAGGAATCCCTGAGCTCTGCCTACTGTTTGGCTGTGAGTCTCTGCATCTATTTCCATCAATAAGTCTCCTAGAAACATAGGGATAAGAAGCCTAAAGTGGCCATCTCTCTAACCAGGCAAGCCTTGGCAGTAGAAGGACTGGGATTCCAACCAAGCCACTTAACTGTTGACCTATAATTTGCCATGCCTACGAGATGGACTGAAGTAAACGTGGCACAGAAATTATGGGAATAGCTAACCAATGACAGATTCAGCTTGAAATCAATACCATGTGAGTGAGCCCACTCCTAACACTGCCTGGAGTGTCAGGACCCAGAGGCTGGACATCCTAGAGACCTAGGATAGAACCAAACATGACTGGCGATAAAAAAGTTAATTAAATGATTCACCATGGAATTCTGCTATACTCACAGATTGCTGCCTAGCTCATTGGTCATCAGAGAGGTTTCCCCCAGCAACTGCTTTGTTGGAAATCTAATGTTCAAGCATCTGTGTTGATAAAGGACATTGTGACATGAAAGCTCTTCAGTTCATGCAGCTCTCTGTTTTGGACTCAGCAGTATTTAAAATTATGAGTCAAATTCGTTTTCTTCATATGCTGTACAGTTTGTGATATTGTGTTATAGTTACATAGAAGACTCTGGGAGACTCTTGGTACCTCCATTATACATGAAGAAACAAGCAATGGATCAGTATTATGGGTGGCTGGTGAGTTAAAAAAATGCAGCGATTCATTTTCATGCAACCAAAATTTAAATTGAGATTCTAGTTTAATAACTACCATCCCTACAAAATACACAGGAAGTTCATATATTTACCAGGGATAGTAGTGCAAGTGTACCTGAATGACAAATTTTTACTATCAAAGCACTAAGTAAATTATAAATATGGTGCTTATAGGATCTACCGTTGCTAATAAGATGAGTGGCAGCTGTGATTATTGATTGACAGTAACCTAAAGACCCCTTCTTCCTTCCCCCTCACTGTCTGGTAATAAGAAGAAATCATATAGAGATCATGTGTGAATACAAAAGGATACCAAGAAAAGTTGTAGAAGCACACACCCTTAATTCCAGCATTCCATATGTCTAGGTAAGAGGGTAGCTAGCTGTATGATTGAGGCTAGCCTGAGCCCAGACTGCACAACAAGTTCTTGGGCAAGCAGACATTCATGGTAAGACTGTGCTTAAAATGATGTATAAACAAAAAGGAACAACAAAAGACTTCTGCGTAGACTTAAAGGGGAAAAGACATGCCATAGGTAAACTGATTTCATGGCACTCAGTTTGGAGCTCTCCTTGTCATGTCCTTAGAGGCAACATAACAAGAGGGAAGCAAATTTGAGTCTCAGTGCTTCAGTTTGGGAAAGTGGAAGCACAGTAACAAAAATCATATCAAGTATTGTTTATGATGGTCACTGCCACAGCAAAAATGGAAGGATGACATCAGTAGACGTTTTCCTAGACATTGAAGCTTCTGGCAAATATTTTCATCCTAATGTTTGGTTTCCATAATGCTAAGCACAGATCTATGATACCTCCATATTCACTTATATTCCCCTCATATAATTTATTTTCAGTTATAGAAAGTACCAAAAGTATTTTACTTACAAATTTGTTTTGAAACCTTAAACTTTAAATTACTCATATAATTTACTATGTCACAATTTTCAAACAAATATATAAAGATCACCACATGATCATAAAGAACAATCAAGTGCGTCTTTTTTCTATCTGTACCTTACTTTTCAATTGTCAGATTAACATATATTTCATTTTTATCCCTAAATTTTAACATGGTTCTTCTTACATTATTTATATTAATCTGCAACAATGGTATCAACAGGATTAACTATAGTATTTGGTTGCTTAAGTATTTAATAATTATCAGGGATTATGGTAGTTCTCTATATCACTTTTAAGATATCTATTAAATCGTCTTTTTTTTTAGAAGGCTTATGGTTTGAGTCTCAGATCCACACTTTGGTGCATACAATTTTAGATGTTTATCTTGGTTTCACAGAAAGGAAGATAGGAGGCCTCAATGATAATGAAGATGGCAGATGATAGAAGCAGAGCTGATGTCCCACCAATCAATACTATATTGACATGTATTCATTACTTTTATTGCCATTGTGACCAACTACCTGACAAGAAACAATTGGAAAGAGGATTTATTGGGTCTCACTGTTTAATGGCATTTGGGGAAGGCTCAAGCTTGCCATGGCCGAGGACTGTAGTGCCCAGAGCAGGAGGCATCAGTTCACACATCTGTGGATCAATGCTGGTGTTCAACTGGCTTACTCCCTTTTCTTACATTTTATCCTGTGTAGGACCCTGGCTCACGAAATACTACACCTACATTTCACGTAGATCTTCCCTCAGACAATTCCTTCTGCAAATATCCTCACAGAAGAACCTAATGACCTGGAATACTAAAGCCATAGACAGGCATTTCTTAATGCAATTAACTTTACAATGAAATGTTCCCATCACAGCGCATATAAGGAATTAGCTTGCCGAGCCAAAGGAAGCATAGGGCTGGTGTGTTCACTTGCTCCCTTGGATATACTCTGATACTCCCAGACTTTCTCATGGTGCAAGGACCAGAATAGAAATTCTCAGGGACTTCTACATGTCTTAGGGGCTAAAGTCATCCAAAACTAAGTCTTACTAC